CCAGTCGCTACTCGCCAAAGTAGGAGGTGGAACAGTGTTTTGTGTAGTATGTTATGCCAATTGAGCTTGATGTCCCCTGTGACTATGGTCCCGAGCCCACAGCTTCAACTACTCGGTCCCTCTGGGTAGCCGGCTGTGACCAAGAAGTGACTACAACCTTGTCCCTTGTCAGCCCTACTATATACCTGAGAATTCAGATCACTCATACAAATAAACTTACAGGACCACTGTCCCGAGGCAGCAAATCTTTATGGAGGTAGATTGCCCAGTCTTCCTTCCATAGAGTGGCTGTGGGGTTTGAACCACCAGCCTTCTGGTTAGCAGTCAAATGCCTTAGGCATTATGCCACCAAAGCTCCTTGTGAACCTATATTAACCATGCTTAAATTTAAACACTGTTTAAATCAGAACTTTATAGCCTGAAATCAAAGCGTGCTGAAAAATTTTTGTTTTATAATGAATTCTATGGGAACTTTGATGACATAGTGCCTAAGGCATTTGACCGCTAACCAAAAGGCTAGCGGTTCATACCCACCAACCGATCCTTGGAAGAAAGGTTGGGCAATCTACTTCCATAGTAACACTGCCTCAGAAATCCAAAGAGGGGTCACTATGAGTCGGATCTGACTGACGGCAGTGAGTTTTTAAAGGATTCTATAGTTCCAGGAGAGGGGCATATTATGCCTTTTATTTTAGGCATATTCTGAGCCCTTTTATCTTAAAACTTGGGAGACTCTCCCTTTCTTTCTCTATGTCTTCTCTCTTGGTTTTTGGGATTCTGTGGGAGTGTAGTTCCTAGTGGCATAGTGCCTAAGGCATTTCACTGCTACCTAGAAGATTGATGGTTCAGACCTACCAGACACTCTACAGAAAGAAGACCAGGCAATCTACTTCCATAAAGATTTACTGCCTCAGAAACCCAGTGGGGGTTGCTATGAGTCAGAATTGATTTGAAGGCAGTGTTTTTTTTTTTTTTTTCCTGCTACACAAAAATAGGATTTCTTCATAGCACAACCAATTGCTTGGGAAGAGAAGCCATGCAGTTAACTGCATTTAATGAGTATCTGTTGTGCAGAATATTATTCTAGGTACTCAAATAAGTGGAGATGATGCCAGATGTGCTTTTACCAATAAACAGTAGGGCTAGGTCAATTGATGAAGTTTTTTTTTTTTTTTTAAACTTTTATTGTGGTAAAAACACACACAAGACATTTATCAATATAACAACTTCCACATTTACAGCTCTGGGATACTGGTTACAGTTTTCATATTGTGCTACCATTATTGCTATGCTTTTCCAAATATTCCACCACCTAGCTTTGGTGGCGTAGTCCCTAAAGCATTTGACTGCTAACCAGAAGGCTGGCAGGTTCAAACCCACCAGCCACTCCTCAGAAGGAAGATGGGGCAATCTACTTCTGTAGTGATACCTCCTCAGAAACCCAAGGAGGAGTCCCTATGAGTTGGATCTGACTCCATGGCAGTGAGTTTTTTTGGTATTAGCATTAAACTCAATGCTCCCCAAACAAAAACTTCCCCTTTACCCCTCCTGTCCCTGGTAACCGCTAATAATCTTTGGTATATATAATCTTTTTTTCCTAACTTACCTAGAAATTTTCCTCCCCCTTCTCTTCCCTCCCCT